CAGGAAGCAACAACTGATGCAACTAACCCCAAACCCTTCTAAAGACACACAAGCCTAATTAATTTTCAAAGCATTTAATACACAAGTAAACAAGTCATTTGAAACAAATCAAGTGCAAGTCATCACTGCCCCCGATTCCTTTCTTCTGCATCCATAACCTTACTTATGAATTGTTTTTGCAAGTGACTTGACCAACTGGTAAGTGAGCTCTTGGGAGGGGATAAACATTAACATTGCCTCCCAAGTTTCACCCAGTGATCTCCACTGCACAACAGAGGCAGGTATAACAATAAGAGGCTCCCACCCCATGAACTTTGGAAGTTTCCCAACTGCTGGAGACATTTATTCCATAAGCAGCAACACTGCCTACGCCAAGAGCTTCTCCCTGGCACTCAATTACTTCTTCTTTCTATAAAGCAGCCAGTTAAATTGCACATCAAATGATAATTCACCCTTGAACTGCTTAAGAAGTCAAGTCACAATATAGTGCAAAGAGCAAATGTCACATAGATGAAGGCAGGCAGAACTGACAGACTGTTCACTACTCGATTGACAAAGTACCACTAATTAAAGGCTCAACAGCTGTCTATTCTAAAACAATCCTACAGCAAGAGTACAATCAAACTACAGCTTCAAATAATGCATATCAACTGAGCTGAGATCTGAACTTAAAAAAAAGAAAGTCTCAAAAACAAAAAAAAGAACACCACACCACCAAAACCCTCACAGACACACAAGCAGCAAATTACCATCTTAAAAATGCTCCCAAATTCACCAGCTTCATTCCATATATTCAGCAATGAAATCAAGGGAGAGCACACTTAGACACTTCTAATACTAAAAAAAAATAAAAATAAAATGGTTACAAGTACCTGCAGCAGCCTCTTTTATAGAGGTGAGAACACTAACCCTTTTCTCCTTTTACCTAGCATTCCACACTACATAAAAAAAAAAAAAAGAAAAAGTCCACTTTGAAATCATTTAGTCCATCTTTAATCCTTGAATAATCAGCATGGGAAAGAAAGCAGCTTTTTTTCATGAAAAAAACTGTCAAATGCCTGAAATAACATATTACATTTGTTTTATGTCACCTATTTTGGATGATTTCCACAGAAAGAAAAAGACAAGTAACCAATGAAAAGTGGCAAGTGTGATACTTTTCACAAAAAAATCAAATGATAAATGTCATATGGGAGATACAAGGCAGCATCAAGGATAAGTAATCTAATTCCAGGAATTTGTACATGAGAGGTCTCTAGATTATTCCATGCCAACAAGTTTCTGACTCAGCTGCAAGAATATCTCACTTTCCACTACATTTCCTAAATGCTATATGCAAACAACATTGACAGCTAACATGCCTGCTTGCAAAGCAATTCCCTGTAAAGAACAAAAAAAAAACCAAAACACAAAAAAAAAAAAAAACCACCACCAAAAAAACACAACCCTTTACAGCTGATACAGAATCATTTTAAACCAGGTTAACACACCCACATCAGGAAGCTATTAAACTCAGGTAAACTGGAACCAGGAGACTTGAGAGTTTTTCTTGTTTAATCTCAACTCCAACACTGAACTTCTGCTAAAGTTTAGCCCCACCAAAGTTGAATAGCTAAAACATTTCAAACACACAAAACAACACACACTCTATAACATAGTATACACACTGCTTTAAGAAAGCCACTGAACTAGGCTGACCATCTTCTCTCGGTAACAACTATGGCGTCTGCATTGCACTATGTAAGTACCTCCACCCCTCACACAGTTGCAACAACCTCTTGTAAGTAACAAAGCACAAACTGAAGGAGAGACTTCCTACTGTCCATTTGAAGGGACAGTACCAGTGGGAGCCCTTTTGATTTGGGTGGAACAAGAAGTAATTGAAAAAAAAAGGTGTCATAAGGACAAACTGGAAAGTTTCTCAAGAAATCAAAGCAAGGAAGAAGCCTCTTGTGAATATGCACGCATTTTACAGAGAGGAAAAGGAATCATGAGCTAAGGTATGAAAGTCTCTTGGAAGGCAAATCTCTGGCATGATGGTGCAGCTACTAGACAACCACTGAGGCAAAGTCCTTCCATTTTATCCTAAAAATGCAAGGTTTAGGACATATACAACAAAACACAGAGCCCATGCGGCTAACAAAATGCTCTTCCTCCTCAGTCCAGTGACCTCTGCAGTTAGGAGAGGGCCCCTTCAGCTTCACGATACTAGTAGACTTCTGAAGCTATGCAATTCACATAAGTTAATATAACATCAGTAAAACAACAGTTGGCCGTGTGACAGTCAATACAACAGAGATGGTTAAGGAAGAGCTAACTGTCAACAAAGTGCTCTGACATTCACAGTGAAGGAAGGCCTAAATAAGGTGTGAAGGGAGCACCGCTGACACTTTTCAACATCTTCATGGTCCAATCCAGGGTGCAGTATTTTGAAGACCACATTATTTTATCATTACAAGATTAGGTTACTGCTTTTTATGGGTGTAATAATCTCATTGACATGTCCTTACTCTTAACCATGTTTTGCTAAATACACAGGAAGCAGAAAGGGCAGCATGTTGTAGACTTCTTTTTACAAAGAGACAGAAATACCTACAAGGAGTCTGTGAGCCTGCCACAAAAACTGTGAGAGAAAATACCACAAATATCCACTTGCTCTCAACAGAAAGAAAAACAATTAAAAAACCAAACTAACCAACCAAACTGGGTTAGTGTAGTTTTGGCAAGAGTATCCTGGTTTCATTATATCATGACAAACACACACAGAAGCCTACTTCTGAGCATACCCCAGAAGCAGGTGACATTCAATATTTCTATTTACAATCATTTCTACAAGAGCATAAGATATAAAGAGAACATAGGTAGAATTGTGAAAAGACTCTATGAAAGAGTGTGAAAACAACAAATGCAGACAAAAAAAAAAAAAAACAAGGAAAGGTAAATAAAAAGGTAAGTCAATGAGATCCACATGCAAGTTGTAACTACACTACCTATTGCTGTCCTCAGCTATTTATTTTCCATTTTAACTTCTACTGTTCATATCAACTGGTTTCCTTATCTTTCCTGTATATTTGTGTTTGGTACTTTTAAAGGCCCCAAAATTAGCAGATAAAAATAGCATAGAGAAAAAAAAAAGGGGAGGGGGGAAGGAAGTTTTCTAATATGTTATTTCAACTGAAAATCCAAAAACAGTAAACTGTATGTACTGACAACTAAAACTGGTGAACAGGCCAAGAAAAAAATTATGTGTTTTCAAATTTATTTTATATTTGTCTATGGCGTATTGAAGTTTTTAATAGCAACAAGTAGCTTACAACACCTATGCAAGTTCAGAATGTAATGCTTTATTTTTGCTGACAGTTTAAGAGCAGACTGTAAAGCACTGAAGTTAAAAGTTTGGCAGAAAGCTGTTTCAAGGCAATATAACACCAAGGATATTTCTGGATATTTAAAATCTCAGGTTTCCTGAAGAGAGTTAAAAGTAGTTTCTGGTGATGTACCAAAGTCTGCCATGTTTGCAGCTTTAAACATAAAAGGCGTATTGTTTAGAAATTATTTTCCCTTTCCTGAGCAAGCATCCACTTACAGAGTGGGGAGAAATACTGTGCAGTAGACACACACTGGAAATCCCTCACAAATTTATGTTTGTGCTAGTCACACATCCCAGAAGGCCCAGATAAGGAAGCCAGGTAAAACACTTTCAGAAGTGACAGTGACTGCTAAGCGTCTCTCTAAAATGGGCTTTTTACTTCCATAAATAATAAAGTTTATGCTTAAAAAAAAACTGAAAAAAAAATAAAAGAAAACCACCAACAAAAAAGCCCCACAACCCTGAAAAAGGGAACAAAACCTTTTTTTCTTTTTTCTTTCTTTTTAGCAGTTAAACAAATGCCTTGGCCATCATACAAATGGCTCAGCTTCAGCACCACTGTGGTACAAATTCCTCTAACCATATGGGAAATCTATCAAAATAATGCATTCTGCAGAACTGATAAGAATAAGGAATGACCCAGCTTGACTCTCACAGATTGTTCTCCCCGGCAGGAGGTTAGAAACAATCCTTTTTGTTCAAACACTATTTTTATAACTCTCAACACCATTTTACAAAACAAGCTAAGAATACCTTCACAAAGCAAAGCTACATTTTAAAATTAGCTGATTTTAGTATACTGCAATTAAAAAACGATCGTGAACTCATCAAAAGATCACGTTGTTTCTTTGTTATGCCTTTTTCCATTCTCTATGCTCCTTATCAACTACTTGTGCTCTCAAAAAGCCTTATGATGCAAATTTCACCATACTGCTGTGAATTTGGGTAGATGACATCATCAGGTGAAAACCACTATTAGTCAATGCCGTTTCCTAACCACGCATAAAATGGTGCAGACAGCACAGATGAATCAAACACGAGCTCTTAAAACATTATTCACTTGCTGCTACAGCGTTCCCAAAAGTTTGCCGCGGCCCGAAGAAGGGAGCCAAACCCCCTATTTTATGTTTCCCCCCGGATGTGAACTTTCCCACCACAAACTGCAGCTTAGGATAACACCAAGAGCATAAGCAGAAAATAAGATGTTAACAGCCAGTTTCGCATGACGGCCTCCTGCACCGTGCTGCCGAAAGCACTCATGCCAGGGCCTGCAACAGCCCATTATGAAGCGCGTCCTGCCCAAGGTATGGATTACATACGTGGAAGCAACACCAGTCCCCAGCCTCCTCCGTCCGTGCGGCCCGGGCCGAGGCGGCTTCGCCACCGCGAAGGCGAGGCGCTGAGGGGGAGCGGGAGCGGTACCCCCAGCCCCTCAGGAATACCCCTGGTCCCCGTCACGGGAAGGGCCCTGTAAGGTCGCTGCCCCGGGCAGGGAGACCCGGGCCCGCCCCGCCGGCACGGCGATGGACAAGGGAGAGCTCAACAAAGGCCTGCCCCCACACGCGCCCCGCCACCCAGCAGTGCTCCCCTCCCGTTTCTCCCCACCCCCTCGGCCCGGGCTGGTACGTACCGGAGCGCGGCGCTGGCTGGGAGGCGCGGCGGGTCTCATACTGCCGGGACGGGGGGAAAGGTGTGACTGTCACCGGTGCCCTGCGGGACGCGGATGCGGCGAGGCCGGGCGGTGGCGGAGCCGCATCGCTGCCCGCGACAAGACCCGCTGCCGCCCCTCCCCCTCGCTCGGTACCTCGCGGCTCCTGTACGGCCCCGCTGCCGCCACCGCTCCTCCTGCTACCGCCGCCGCCGCACTTCCGGGCAGGGAGGGGTCACGCTGCCGCACGCCGTGCCGCTTCCATCCGGGACTTTCCGCGCGGTCCCGCCCTCTCCCTCGCGGCGCCCGAGGAGGGAGGGTGGGGGGGGCTGGCGGGTGGCTGATGGGGGTGCGGTTGTTGAGGTTATAGTTGAGGTGCTCTCCGGCGCCTTTGTTGCTGTTTGGGTACCGAGATGGGGAGGGCGTGTGGTGTCCGGGCTCCGGGTGAGGAAGGGTGGCGCTGGGGGTGGGGTAGCTAAGGGGTTTGTAGTGTGAGCTTTCGGTGGCTGTCCTGGAGCGAGTGCCCGGGGATCACCCCCACTGACCAGCTGACTCACGCTGCGGGGCGGAGATGGGGCTTCTGAGGACGTCTTTCTTATTTGTCCGTTTCAGTTGAAGTTGACCTGAAAGTGCCATTCGTGAGGGCCATCCTTCTACCAAGTATCAGGACCTGACGAGAACCAACACTGTAACTGCGCCCCCGCTTACAGTGCCGATGTTGAGTTCTCAGCATCTTACCTGGTGCACAGATCTGCTTTGCGCTCCTTGCTGGCATAGGCGTGGGCTTCGAGCCCTTCACTCTACAGCTCCCTGACTGGGGCGCTTGTGTTCTTCCTACATGTGTTCACTACCCACCAGTTTCGAGAGCTGTCGGTCAGATCTGTTTCTTTCAGCCCAGGTGGGATGAATTTCCCTAAATCATTGACGTATCTTCCTAGTTGCTTCTGAAAATAAATGATGTTATAATTGTAAGTTCCATATACAGTACTGCAGACTTCTTTGTGGAGCGTTGGAAATAAGCAGTATGTTTTGTTTTTCTAATGGCCAGGGCGCTAGGGAAAATACCATCTATAAAGACAATTAAGACTCAGTGACACCCTAATTGCATCCCTTGGGAATGAGCGCTAAGAATACATATACACAGCATTGTGCTGCGTAAAGATACCCAAGCTACCAAGGTCTCAAAATCAATACAGCTGCATTAGTGAGGCACAGAGCCCTGGATAATTCATCCTGCAAAGGAAAAATGCACTGACAGGGCCATACTGCTTTTGATATTACTAGTTCAGTGAGAACTATTTCAGGAACCTGCCCAACACGGAGCTGTATTTTCAAGTGGCTCAGCATTTTTTTGTTTGGAGTCTTTTTTTAAGCCAGTTCTTGTAGGAAATATCATTACAGACACAACCAGGGCTTACTTCCTACAGCTGAACAGGATACTCGGGGCGGGACCAGGCTGTTACCTTTTGTATGGCCCTTTACTTGGAAGAAATCACAGTATATCTTTGTTGGTTGTATGAGACACATGTAGAGCACAGACTAACAGGATTCTTGGTATTGTAAGCTGAATAGTTCGGTGCTTGGAGACAACTGTTGCAAATGTGAAGAATATCCACTCTTTTATGAGATAGAATTCAGTCTCTGCTACTGGAAATCAGGGATGTACTCCTAGTTGTAACTGAAGAGTCTGTAATGGGAATCTTATGATTTAGAGCAATTTACCACACCAGAAATGCAGTGAGCCAAGTGAACCTTCGTATATGGTAACTAACCGCCATGTCCCTTAAATCCCCCTCTAGAAAAAGTCTGCAAAGATGGATCATTAACAGGAACTGTGAAAAACACAAGCATATTTGTCAGCAGACAGAAGGTGAGATTACAGCTCATGCATCCCTTGGGCTGAAAAGTTCGTTTGCTCACTCTCATATATATATATTATTCTTGTGTGTGTGGGCAAATGCCACAGAAGGGTATGTAGATGGTTGCCAAGCAAAGCAGCTACCACTTTCCAGATCTGGAGTTTCCAGTCAGTTTTAACAGAAGTTTATTTTCCTGTACTTTTCATCCACTACTCAGTCCTATTTCCTGCTATCTCCCCTTGGGTGCTCATTTTCAGACCCTGAGCTTGTTTCTCACCTCAGTGCTAAATTAAAGTGCACTGTATAGTACAGCCTCTTGTGTCACATTAGGATTATATATTGTCACATCAGGATGCATTGGTATTAATTGTATTATGGCAGCATTTGGTGTGTCAACTGAGGTAAGTGGCCCTTTATGCCAGGCATTTTACGAAACATACGAGACAAACACAAAGTCTGTAATCTAATTAGGCAGGACAGAAAGTATTAGAGAAAAACAAGATAAGGTGAAAAGATTAAGCACACCTACAGAACAAAGATTTGTCAGACACCAGAGGAGGATCAAACTTTCCTGGGTTCAGAGTGAAAGCTCTAGACTGTATTTTCTCAGACTAGATAGGAGGTTGCACAAGAATATGCTCTTATAATATACAGTACTTTCTGGCAGAAACTTGGGAGTATTTATACTTTTCAGAGTTTTTAGGGAGAAAGTGCTATGTTACTTTATTGTCTAAAAAGAGATTAAAGATAAAAGAAGAAAAAACACTGTTGTAGAAATTCTTTCCTCCCAGATTCCACTGGGACAGAGCAATGTTTGCACTGTACTGTGGTGGTGCCATCCTGCATTGGGAAACCCTCATATTTAGAACAGAATAAAAGAGAATAGGGTAGAATAAATATTTCAGTTGGAAAGAACCTCAGTGATCATCCAGTCCAACTGATGATATCCCTTGGCTACAGTCATATAATCATAGAATAGTTAGGGTTGGAAAGGACCTTAAGATCATGTAGTTCCAACCCCCCCTGCCATGGGCAGGGACACCTCACACTAAACCATGCTAATCTCACACTAAACCATGCCACCCAAGGGTCTGTCCAACCTGGCCTTGAACACTGCCAGGGATGGAGCATTCACAACTTCCCTGGGCAACCCATTCCAGTGCCTCACCACCCTAACAGGAAAGAATTTCCTCCTTAAATCCAATCTAAACTTCCCCTGTTTAAGTTTTAACCCGTTACCCCTTGTCCTGTCACTACAGTCCCTAATGAAGAGTCCATCCCCAGCATCCCTATAGGCCTGCTTCAGATACTGGAAGGCTGCTATGTCAATCTGGATATCTTCTCAAGGGCTGACTTTCCATAATTCTTCTGGGTTTCTTTATAGAATAATTTTTCTTACATGTGCTGCTAGAAAGAATAAGGAACTATGTTAACATACAGTTATAAAAGGATTAGTATTTGGAGATTTTAAGTGCTCTAGTCTAGGTAAGCAACACAATCTTTGTCCTATCAGCATGATCAAGTTTCAGGCTGTTGGGAATTTTACCTTAGATAAACTTTTTGAAATGCAATTTCTGTCTGCTGTGTATTAGATACCAGATTTGCTGTGCTTCTGTTTGAAAGAGAGAATTTATTCTGGGTTATTGACCAGGTTTCCTCACCCTTGTTTTGTGATATAAGGTGAACTGCCTGAATTCAGTTGCTATGTATGATGGTGTTAACCCTCAGAGCATGTAAAATAGACTTCTTTTAAGTATTTGGTATATGAGCAGTCCCACAGATTTAGGGAAAGTAGTTGCATATATAAACATGCGTTTAAATGATTTTCAGGATAAAGTTACAAGTGGAAGTCATTTTCTGCCCAATAGGTAGCCACATTTCAATGGTGAAATTATATATCCTAATTACAGATTCCTTATAAACCTCATTGAGATCTTTTTGGTGAAAGAAAGCATTATACACACATGCATATGTGTGTAAGCACATGGCTGCAATGTTTTAGAATCATAGAATTGTTAGGGTTGGAAAGGACCTTAAGATTATCTAGTTCCAACCCCCCCTGCCATTGGCAGGGACACCTTACGCTAAATCATATCACCCAAGGCCTCGTCCAACCTGGTCTTGAACACTGCCAGGGATGGAGCATTCACAACCTCCCTGGGCAACCTATTCCAGTGCCTCACCACCCTAACAGGAAAGAATTTCCTTCTTATATCCAATGTTCACAAACATTTATATCATTAAAATAACTTTTTGAAAGAAACTCAAGACAAGAATATTAATCTCATCTATTTTTTTAATCAAGTTAATTATTTTTATTTACTTGTGCTAGCAAAATCAATGGTAAACCTCCCAAGACTGTGCTAGTGTCACATGCTTTCTGTTTTCCTTTCCTGTCTGTTGTCTAAACGAGAGCACTTTCTGGAGGAATCATGATAAATCCGTAATATCTTATTTTATTCTACCCTATTTACTTTTAAAAGAGCAAGTAGACAGCATTGCAAATGTATTGCCAAGATGTATGGGTGATTTTGCATTAAATAAATGCAAACCATGATCTAGCTGATAAAAATCACAATTTTATGGAGAGTTTTAAAAGAATATAAAATTTCAGCAGGGAAGTATTTAGTCTTTTCATAATATAGTGGCTTTGGAATTTGACTTTCTTTGAGGAATTTAAAATTCTAGAGTGTTAAGGCATTACCCAATTTAGATTGATTTTTCAATCTTAACTTCTTTTTATATTTTCCTTCTAGATTTTCTTCCTGAATAGGAAAATAATAAAACCTGCTAAACTGCAACAAACAACTAATTTCTTACAAGTTAGTGCTATGACTCTGAATTTGTTCAATAATGTTTCAACAGAATGTATATTCACTTGAAAAGGTCCATGTTTTGAAACCAGCACCCTTCACTGTAAAATATATTCTAGTTTTGGCAGAAAGGTTTTAACAAAGATGCAATTTCTTCTGAGGGAGGAGGGTGATGTATGAGTAAGCAGTGTTCCAGTGGCCATAGCAAAGAGCCTGCCAGTGTTGGGTGAGTCAGATTCAGGTCTCGATCTCCCAACTTTCACATCACAGATAAAACCTTAACCACTGAGCTACTGGCTGATACACAATTAGAATCTTTCCTGTTCTTCTGTTTTTATACTTTGCATAAAATTTTAGCAGAGACTTGAACTTGGGACTTCCAATCTTTGCCTTAGCTCAGCAGCTGTTCTGTGTGAGCTTCTCTTTCTTCTTTCATTCAAAATAAATACTTAAAACATTTTCATGAGAAACTTTCACAAGGCAGCAAACATTTCCCACACAATTTTAGCTTTTGAAGACTTTTTAGTTCAAGGGACACATATATTAATAGCATTTTAAACTAATAGAATAGAATTTGCTTTCTATTGTCATATTCCTTTCCCTCAGTTTCTCTTTTTGTGTTTGCTGTATTTACTGTTATGTTTTAAAATAGATAGTAATAGCTTCAAAGCAGGCATCATGTCTTCCTATGAATATTTCTTTAATGCATAGTGGCAGAAAACTCACTGGAGATTGGTTGCAGCATTATATGGCATTATTTTTTTTGCAGAATGGCAGGCTGCAAATTGCTTACGATCTTTGTTTAGTTCCTCCTCAGTGTTCTTTAACACATTAGCACCATTTTCTTGTCCAAAAATATTTCCAGATTCCTTTCTGTCATCCACCCCTACAAATCTTCCTTTTTTTCCTTATTTTTCCTTCATGCGCTTTCAAGTTGTTGAATTCATATTTGCTAGAACTCCACAACTATGACTGTGTGCCTGTGCCGTGTGCCCCAGGTTCTTTCTACTCCACTGCCATTGCAGTGTCACTGAAGATCACAAATAAGGTAGCAAACCAGTGATATTATTTGAGATATGTTTTTATATGTTTTATATATATTTATATTTAAATATCTTTTAATATATTATATATATATGCTCGATAAGACACATAACTGACAGCTACTATGGCTTCCAAGTTCATGTTCCCTGATGCAATCATGACATGTTTACAGTTCTTTCAAATTAAAGAACCCTTTCCCCCTGACACACGTATACAGTGAGACTTTTTTTCATAATGAAAACTGATAGGCAGTCTAAATAGAGGAATCAGTACTGCTGGCTGTGTATACAATTAAAAACAAGAACTTAAACAGCCATTGGGCTTTATTCAGATCTATTTAGAAATACAGTTTCTCAGACCATAACTTGGAAGCTAAACACATTCCTGGATATGGTAAAATTTTTATAAGTGGGAAAGGTGATTCTTTTGGGGGTAAATTTAATAGATTCTTTTTGGATCTTGCTAAAGCACGAGAAAGCCTCGTTTAAGTTCTTTGCAAATCAACATTCCTCTCATTTCCCACAGAACAATAAAAATCAAACCGTATTTTCAAGTGTAATGCCAAACCTTTCTTCCTCTACTACCTTCTACTCTTCAAAAAGCAATCAAACACGAAGTCACATACCCTTCTACAGATTTTTTTGTTAGAGAGAGTCTGGAAACTTCTTTTTGCGCCAGAATGCAATAATAAATAGCAAATTTTGGTTTGTGGCTTGTACTCATAAATTTGATAATAAAGCCAAATGCATACACTTTTCCTCATTTCAATACCAAGTAACTGCAAAAATGCTTTTAGAAGTCACTTTCATAAAGGGAAGAACAAGCATGAGTTCTGAATATTACGTGGGCCCCAAACATCATCACTTACAAATTCAAATAAAACCAGCATCTGAACATGATTCAGTTGGCTCAGAGAGAATACAAATAGATTCACAGAAGAATCAGTAGATTCCTCGCTGAATGAAGTTCAAGTTGCTAAGGCATACCTCAGTTCAAAATGTAAGGAAAACAAATTGAACTTCATTACCCTTTTTGTTTTTGAGATTCTGTGGTTTTGCCTTTGGAAATCACTTCCTGCTTCCCAGCTGATAAACAAAATCCTTAATTATACTATTCAAAAGTACTTTTCAACATCAATATTCTCCAAATTCTCTTGATTTTCATGACAGGACCTGGCTCAGTTGTCTCTATGCAGAGTAAAATCCCAGTAATTCTTCTAATTTAGTGTTTTGTAGGACTTAGCTCTTCTGTCATGCTTTGCAAACCTAACATATTTAGCATGGAGTGCTAAGTATCTAACTTTTATTAATGATTAAAGTAAACCAGCACTCAGTCCTTTCAGTAATGACTATTTTTACACCTGCCAAGTATACAGGACAAGTGACTGGATATTTACGGATTTTTATGCAATTTTATAATTTGCTCATGGACTTATGAGGTACACATGCAATTGCCTATTTTGATCCATTCTGCATATTTCAGGGGAAAAAAAAAAAAAAGGTATTATTCTGTTTTCCCCACTATTGTGCAAATTTTTGTACATATGAAAAACAATGGATTTAGGAGAAACCTTAAACTGAAAGCTCAGTGCTTTCATGTTTTATACATAAGTTGACCTCCATTCATAAGGTTAATTAACCTAATGAAAAATGCTTTTTTTGTGTTTGAAACAGCATTTTTGTTTAACCACAAACTACTTCCCTCTTCCCCTGCTTTTTTCTGAGAAATGCAAGCATTCTACTGGCTGCTTTTTATAATTTTTTAGTTTCACCATCCCCCCAGAATTATAATTTACACAATTTTATTCATCACTGTTGCCTATACTTGATCTGGTCTTTATAAAGTTTAAGTAGTTAAAATTTAAAGGTGCAGCTATCCTTCAAATAAAGTTAATTTAAAAGGGTGCTAGACCATATACTCTATATAATCAGCAATTCTTATATATATAATAATATGTAATAGTAATAAGAATAACATAACCTGTGCAATAAGTATGAGTTTCGATTGGAAACTCTTCTAAGCAGAATGGTTCCTGTGTTTTGCTGAAAAGATGTGGGCTCACTGAATTTCATCTCTAAGAAATATTGAACAGTTGTATAGTAAGTAATTCACTGTTTGTTATGAATAGAAGTAAAGATAGATACCAAGCTTGAATAGAAGGATAGATGCTGTGCTGAAAACACAGAACAGCTCCATGATGATTTCTAATGGAGTTATACTTAATATAGGAAATTTTGATGTAGCTAACTTTTTCACTTTAATACAATTATAGGGGTTTCTTGCCTATTTCTGTTTATTTTGGCATCTATTTGGGTTGAACACCTTTTTACATATCACTGTGTGCTTTAAATAGTGTAGTCCTCATTAGCACAGATTTTGCACTGTTGATGTTTTCATATAGTTAATTCTTCTTTCTAGCAAGCAATTTTTTGTCTGAAGACAAATTATGATTCGTAAGCGGAAGAGCTTCCTTTTGCTCTGGGATTCAACAGGCCAGCATGGAAGTATTCTATTCCTAGAGAAAAACTACTCATGAATAATGTAGTATGACTACAGCATACCCGTCAGTGGTGGAGATCTTTCGTCTGTGTAGATAGCTTAAAATTGGTGGTCAGGAAAAGGTAGTTTAAGTCAGATAATGGTCTTCTGAGTCAGATTTTCTCTGGCATAGAAATATATAGTGCTAAAACATTAGAATTATTTTGCAATACTGTAATTGGATGCAAACTTCGTCTGAGATTTTAGCTTTCAACTCCTTTACCAAATTTACATAACACAAATGTTAATTCGTGAAGAAAATTATACAGTAAACTCTCACACATTACGGTTAGACAAAGTCAAAAATCCCACTTTTATCAAAAGGTGGCTTTTTTCTTTTTCTTTAGCAGTCTGTTGACACCATTGATTTGGAAAGATGTGAAATTCTCAGTAATTATACATCATGATATGGTCTATTTGCTTGCAGATTTCATTCTGTATCTGTTAATTAAAATAGAATTTTCAATAGTTTTCCCATACATATATTAAAAGTCCACTTTTCTTGCAACTCAGAGTTGAGCTCTTTAATTTCTTTTGACTTTTTCTTGTTTCATACTTTGACCACTTTACATTAAATACTTGAAGTTTAGTATCTGATATTTTCTTGTGGCTGTTCTCTGCCTGAGTATCTCTATTGATTTCAACAGAATTATCCAGAGTGGTATAGAAGCTGGTTCAGTAATGGTCATATCCAAAAAGCAGGAATTTACTATGGAACAATTGCAACATATTATATGTAAATTCAGAAAATGTAAATAATACATCAGAACTCACTACTTTGTAAGTCCTAGTGTTAAAGATCAGATAGCTAATATTACCAGACTGGACTGATAGCTTGCACTTCAGTTTTTAGGAGCTGGAATGTAATATATCCTTTCAATTTTAGTGTTTCAGGGTGTTTTTACAAGCACATTAGGTAGTTAATTAAAAAGAAAAAAGTTAAATATGTTCATCCCAGATAACAACCTTAAATTGCCAACAGAACTCGAAGTGTGTTATCTCAAAGTCATTGGCTATCATGGCTGAAGAATGTCTTCTAAGAACACAGTCAAAAATCAGATTTGTCATCTAAAACTTATTTAGTCCTGCAAGTTTTAGGATAACAGAAGGTGACAGCAGCATCTCCTCAAAATGAAGAGATTCAAAGAAAGCTGTGATCTCATAAACATCGAATGATGAGATTCTGAGTCATAGCTCCCTAATGGTAATTTTAAGGTCACTGCTGAATATGGTCAGTTTATTTGGAGAGACAAGAAACAATACCTGGCAAGAAGAAGAAGAGAGATCAATTGGCATGATACATACATCTAGTTCAGTTAATCAAAGTGCCTTTGACATGCTTTTGATTTGTGGCTTTGCTATTCTGTTGTTCTAGAAATCTGTTCTAATTTTTCCATCCCATAGTCTGTGAAGGAGTTAATGAATTCTGTAATATCTGGATAGAGGATGATTTAGTTTGAGTACTTTGATCAGCCTTTGTTGACAAAGCTTCATCAACCATTACTGAGATTAATTTTTTCTATGTACTATCACCAGTGTGGCTTCTCTGAAACCTCTTTCCAGCACCTGTATGCAAGTGGTTAGTTTGCATCAACAGTGGAAAAAAGCAAACCAGAAAGCTCAAAACCCACTGGAGGAAAACCTCCCATCTACAATTAAAAAGAGGACTCCTATGTCACCTATGCTGAAAACAGGTTATGGTGGCATGTTTTGATTAATATAAAGAAACCTATAGAAGTAGATGCTTTCCAAAGTGTTATTTCTGGTCCTGGGAAAAGAATTTGTCTATCTAAATTAGGAAAAGAAGAAATAAATAGGA